TGAACCTGTTCAATGACTTTACAATAGTTAGATCCCCATATTTCCGCACCATAGCATAATATAGGAGTTATCATACTATCAAATATTCTAAACAGTTCCTTTAAGTCTACATATCCAAAAGTTTGCTGAAATCTGTTGAGTGAAAATAGAGCTTTAGTGGCTTGTGCTGCTTGGCATAGCTGAGTTTTTGTCCATGATAATTTCGGTGTGAACAATGTTCCAAGATATTTATAAACATTTACAGTTTTGATTTGTTGACCTTTGAAATACCACTTTTCATAGTTTCTGAGAGGGCCTCCTTTCCTGAAAACAATTATCTTTGTCTTGTTCAGGTTTAACTTCATTCCTGTGGCATCACAAAATTCTTCAACTACATTTATTTTTTTTCTGTAACTGATTGGCAGAATCTGAAACAGCTGAAACATCATCTGCATACATGAGGCCAACAATATCTGGAGAGTCAGTTCTTAAGAATATACCTCTTCCACCAGTTTCTTCCATTCTTGTAATAAGCTGATTAATGAAGATTATGAATATCTGTGGGCTTACTATACATCCTTGTCGGGTTCCAACATTGCAATTAAAATAATTTGAAAGACCGTGGTCAGTCCTGATGCAAGCCGATAGGTTAGAATACATTGATACAATAAAGTTAAAAAAATCACCCTTAATTCCAATTTGTTGAAGACTTCGGAACAGGACATCATGGTTTACACAGTCAAATGCCTTGGAGAAATCGATAAAGAGGCAGTAAAGTCTACCTCTCTTCTTCACAAGATATTTCTGAATCATGGCTTGCAGTGTAAATATATGATCTATGGTGGAATATGTAGGCCTAAATCCAGCTTGAGACTCAGATATAATGTTATTGTCATCACACCACTGTTTGAGCCTGTTATTTATCACACTTGTCAGAACTTTGCACAATGAATCAATGAGAGATATTCCCCTATAGTTATTGGGGTCAGTTAGACTTCCAGATTTATGGAGAGGACATATAACACTCTTTCCCCAGGCTGGTGGAAATGACTTGTTAGTAAACATTTTATTGAATAGTTTTGTCAGCATTGGTGTTATATAATCTCTTGTTGATATGAAGAATTCATTCACTATTCCATCAGGTCCAGGTGATTTATTGTGTTTCAGATTCTTAATACATTTATGGATCTCATCCTCTGTAAAAGGTCTGTTCAAATCTTCATTACATATTTCACAGGGTTCCCATGAAACATCTGACTGTTCATTGTGAGTGTTAGCAATATTTTCAGGTATGTAAATGTTCAATAAATCATGAAAATGATCAAACCACTGTTTTGTAGGAATATGTTGAGTTGTAGTGTTTACACTCTTATGTTTCTTCAATAATTTCCAGAATTGCTTTGGCTTAGATTTTGCTTCTGAAAGTAAATTTCTCTGCTTCTCAAAATAACCTGATTTTTGTTTGCATATAACTGTTTAAACTGTTTCCTTTTCATTCTGTAGATGTTGATATCATGTCCACAGTCTCTGATTTCCTTAATGCTGCATATTTCAGGTGTTTAAGGTGTTCTAGGTCCTCATCCCACCAGGGGCTGCTGCTTATCAGTGAATGAATATTTCTTGTATAGCTTAACACAATCATTACCCGGCTCTGTGATAGAGATTAACAATATTCTCAATTGCATCATCAACATTTGAGTCTATTAATGAGAAGATTTGATCACATTTTTCAAGAAAGGCCTCTTGAAATTTCTTGAGAAAAAAAGTGCACTGTTTTCTTCACACCAAGTAAATTTCAACCATTTCTCAACTGGCACGCCTTGATTTTTAGGCAGAAATTGATCATTGAGAGGCGGATTGTCGGTTGCCTTTGAGGTTTCATCACGCTCATTGAAGTTGAGAGTACAACACAAAGGGAAGTGACATGAATCATCTCTATCAAGAACCTCAAAATGGCTTATATGTGGGAAAAGATCAGTGGATGCTAACATATAATCCACAATGCTTGATCCATTATGTTTGACACATGTGAAGTTACCATCAATATCACCAGATAAGCGACCATTTAGGGTGTGAATACCAAATATTGAGCATAGTTCAGCAAGTTTTCTTCCATAATTGTTATATTTATCATTATCTCTGGTACATCTTGGTAGGTCAAAGTTATCACTAGGATAGTCATCACTGTTTTCTTGTATGTAAGCAAGGTTATCATGAGGTATGTAATCGAGAAAGTTGCTCATTCTAGCATTAAGATCTCCAGATAAAAGATAGTGATGGTCATTATGTGAGCTCACAATTGTTTCAAGATACATAGCTAAGCGATCCATACCATCGTAGTCCAATGCCTGGAAGACAGGCGAATTTTCAGGTGAAATGTAGGTGAAGATTAGAATGGTATCTTTTATAAAACCAAGTTCTGTTGTTCTAAAGAGAAGCACGATCGTATCCCTCGAATGAACTAAACAAGCTTTGATAATGTTACTTTCCACTAGCCATTCATGTACAAACACTGTGACACCCCGCTATATCTACCAAGAGTTTTAGCCTTGGGTCTAACACAGTTATATGATCTAAAACCGGAGAAAGTTTTCAAAATCTTGTTCACTTCTCACAAAGGATTCACAAAAGGCAATGATGTGAAATAATGGAGCAATACAGTTTAAGACCAGTACATTCAGAAGAACTTACATATTTATATAGTCCCTCTATATTCCAGGATAGGATACTTACGACCACGATTGGCGACCATCTTTTCATTCGCGTTCTTTGTTTACATGTGGAGTGCTCTCCCTTGGATTAGTGTTACTTCGGGTCCAGATGTAAACAAACTCACGTGGTTATCTCCTGTCATCACGTTGCTCCAAGATCGACCGCTAGCTTGGCTAATGCCTTGTCGATCTGATATGCACACATTCTCGCCTTTAATCCTATCGAAGCATAAACGCGTTGCCGTCGACATAGAGCTTGTCATGTCGGATCTTTGGGGATTTTCCAGCTTGTAGAGCCTCCGTGAATATTTTACTGAGTGAGCGCCTGGCTTCTCTCACTCGCTTTGTTAGATCCTCGGTGACACGGATCCGTTGGCTATCTTCATTTCGATTTCCTCTTGCAGCTTGTAGTATGTTGTTTCTATCTTTTGTTAGTACAAAATTCGCAATGACAGGCGAAGTTAGTCTTTCCACTTCGCAGTCGATGCGCCCGAAGTTATCAGCACATTTTCGTGTCTGTCATGTGAAGCATGGTTTTCATGAAGTCAATGTACTTTTTCTTCTGTTTGGTCCCAGGTTTCACCCTTTTCCTCCGGTATACCGTGAAACAACAAGTTGTTACGCCTGGAGCGAGATTCATAGTCATCTAGACGATCATGAAGGTTGTTGTTTTCGACACGTAGCAGCGCTGATTTCAGTGTTCATATCCGGCGCCATATTGTTTACCTTCTGATCTAGGTCACTAAATTTGTCATTTACTTCCTTTATATCAGCTTTTAGTCCAACTAGAACGTTCATTAAGTCGTCATTCGTGTATTTACATTGTTGTGAAGTTCCACTGCCACTGGCTTCCACTGATAAAGTTGACTGTCGTGTATAGGGTCCCGGATTTGACTCGACATCGCCGCTCACCACTAACAGGGTGAGCGTTAGTAATGTAAGTCTCAAGATCAAACAAACACTTCGTTTTTCCAGTGAAATGCCACGTACAGATGTGTGACACTTACACGGTTGCACAAAACATCCGATTTTAAGCCTGTATTGTTGTAAACTTATGCCCATTGCGGAGCAGTGGTAAACACGTCTACACTCATGAATTACCCAGCATGCATGAAATTGCTGGAATATTGATCACTCACTCACTCACTCCTGTTGATAATGCTGACCACTGACTGTAATAGGTACTGAAATGAGATCCACCGAGCAGTCTTGCGAAACACATCCGCGCATCTTCAGTGAGCCACCACCAATGGATTCAGCTGCATGGATCATCTATTGGTGATGTCTCCCCATACGTGGTCACGGCTACTGGTGATGTGTAGAAGACAGCGACTTTCATCAGACCAATGAACCCCACCATGTCCTCAAGCTCCGGTTTTCTCGGCCGAGATACTGTACCGGAATATACCGGTTTAACGGTTTACCATTAACATTGCAGTCCTACTAATTTGGATCTTCACGGGATGAGTATATGGTTATGATTAGGCGATTAAGTGGCAACAGAGATGGGTCTCTGGTGGCAATTAGTGTTTCTGGTTTCATGGGTTGACTCATCAGTCAACATACTTTGAAGTACCATCTTTGATCACTTTGGAATAACAGAAAGGCATACACACGTCAACTTAGGTGGGCATTCTTGTTTACCGACTCCTCTTCAGTGAGCCTGATTACCTAGTCATATTCGTCGCCTCCAAGGGCTAACCCGAATCTTCACTCGAAACTGCCAATAATATATAGCGCTGTTATATGACATAAGTTTAGGCGCCCGGCTCTGATATATTTATAAGTATGACCCATATATATAAGATACATAGGCGCCTGGTTCTGATATATTTATAAGTATTACCTATATATATAAGATATAAGATCATATATAGGTCATACTTATAAATAGATCAGAGCCGGGCGCCTATGCATTAACTCAAATAATATTAAACACTTTAATCATTTACAACATAATCAAAGGCACCTGGTCACCTGATGTATGCACCAATCTACAGCTAGCACTGTCTTCAGACGACCGAATTGAATATGAAATAATATGAAACATATAAAATAACAGTGGCCAACTAATTCCCATGTAAAGGCAATTATTTTGAGTCAACGGAAAACCTGAAGCTCCAAGTTTTGACTGAACTGCGAGAGAACAAATATATCAACAAATATTGTCATTGTTTTTTTTAAATACTCTGAAAAATAATCATTTTAGAGGATATGGTAAATTAGGTCTAGAACATTGAAGCTCTATGTTTACTGGCCAAATCTGTCAGCTGCACAATGAGTAATTATGTCAACTCCATAAACAATACATAAAAGAACAAGGACTTTATTCAAACCAAGTTGAAAAGGAGCCCAGGAAACATAAGTTTCTAAGCAGCATAATTAATAAATAACAATCAATCAATTTCTCATTCCTTATTCCTCATTCCTTCTAAAATAAGATTTAAAGCCTTTCCAAGCGCCAACAACAGCGACACCTGCCGAACTTGCTGCAGCAGTAGCAGTTCCACTCAGTCCTACAGCACCAGCCGACTGGCAGACAGCGACCAAGCTTCCAGCAGCTACACCCCCTCCATTAGCAACAGCAGCAACAGACATCGCTCGTGCTGCCAAACTTCCCGCCACTATTCCACCAGCCCCGAAGCCCGCGGCAGAAAGAGCGACAGGTATGGCTACGGGTAGAGCCACAGCTCCTACTACGAAGGGAGCTACACTTTTGGCCTTGTTCAACCAGCCTGATGATGTCTCTTCCATCTGATCCTCTTCCATCTGAACCGGATCAGATCTAAAACAAAAAAATGCCTCTTATATCCTGACCGAAAGACCAATACAAACAAAATTTTGAAAATTAGGTATTGTAACTTGATGTACAATGCAGTTATTAATGCAGGGACCCTTAAAGTGCAGGTGTCCCAATTTTATGTAATATTTATAGGTAAATAATTGCTGACACACACCCAGTACATGTGTACAAAATTGATGGAAACCCCCCCATCTCTTCATAACAAAACGGGTTCACACCCATCCCCCACCCCCCTTTAAAAATCATCATCACCTCCCCTCGCCATAAATTATGAATGGTCCCTTAACAAAAACAGCCTTACTATGCAACCATAAGATATAAACAAAAAGTGATTATTTTATCGCTTAGACAAGCAGGTAAGCATACGTTTATTTTCATTTCCATCCATTTTAATATAATAAATAAATAAATATGAAATATGGTAACTCACCCTGGAACAGACAAACAGGTGATACATACTGACACCCTACTAAAACAGGCCAACAGGTGCTATCTACTGAAATAGGGTAAACATTCCAGGAACAGGCTAGCAGGTGTTTCATTGTGGCATACAGTTTCCTCCCTAAAACAGGGGCTCAATACGAACATATTAATCTTTGAAACAGGTCATCAGGTGCTTCATACTTGAGTATGGAAACTATTCCTAGAACAGGCCAATAGGCATTAATACCAAAATACTGATTCCTCCTTAAAACAGACCAACAGGTGCTTCATACTGACGTAGGCATAGGACACAACTGGTTCAGAACATTGCTTAGATATGTTTTCATCTTTACACTCCAGTAGCATTGTATCAGTTAACAAAAGCACAAAAGCAAATGTCATGATGTTTAAACCAGCTTTACTCTCAACAGTTACACAATGAAACAGCTCTACTTGGTTATGGTGCAAGATCACAGGTCAAAGTAAAATAAACCAAAAAGAATTGATGAAGTACATAAAGATGAAAATAAAGATACGAATAAGACAAAGAAAAATACCCAAAATAGCTGAGAAATGAGATAAAGAACAAAGACAGGGATGAACAAAGATCAAGAATGTGAGAAAGATCAAGAATGTGAGAAAGAAAGATCAGAGACCATATAATAGATCTATTATATGGTCTCTGGAAAGATAAGATGAAGAATGAATTCAGTTTCTTTCTTCATAAAGAGGTAACACTTGAACCACTAGGCTATCCCATTACTAAGAATTAGTTGAGTGAGTGAATGTATAACGGAATGTGATACTTAGAAACTTACTCAATTTTATTGTATGATGCACTGTCAGCATTTCTCGGCATGAATCAGCATCTAGGCCCACAGCCCTGTTGTTCAAAGAGTTCAGAAGAATGCACCATATTTGCCCTTTTTGCCTTTGCTATGGACCCATTCAGCCCAATGCTCATCAAAATTGGCTGAGAACTGATACATCTGCCCCATGCTCACCACGCCAGCGATTGGTTACAGGAAACCCATTGTGCCTTACAACAATCATAGGCACTCTCTCAGCCACGATATCCATACCACAGCAATGGGGTACTAGGGACCTATTCTGGCAGGAATCCACACAAAAAATAGGTTACTATGTATCTATTCTGCCATGGAATCCCTATGATAACAATAGGGTATGCCAAAGAATCACTTCATTAGCCACGGAGTACTTAGGCGTCAAACACACCAAAGCTTCCATAGTCAAATCCTTGGAAAAGATTGTGTTAGCATCTGTTAGATAAAGTAACTGAGCTGCAAAATCGGCATGTATAAACTACAATATACTACGGGCACACCAGAAATAGGCTTCACACATTGTACCCATGTGGGTAATCGAACCCAGGGCTTTGGTATGACAAGCGACGCTTTAACCACTAGGCTACCCCACCAACCCTATGACCTCAGATGCCACACCCACCCTCCCTATTCAAGGATAATGTACAGCTTATTCCACGGTACAAACACTTTTAATACTGCACACATGTACTGTTCCCTAGTACCTCAGAGAATTACAAACAAACTTCACCTTACAGGTTTATTTTTTTCAATTTTACCCATGGACATTGGTTTTTAGAGATCTACAGAAAGTCTTTGATATCCTACACTAAGGCTGCATCCAATACCTAAAATTTTGGCAAAGGAAGAAGTTCCTTTAACTACTTTACAGTAGCTCCAAGAAGAGCCTTAAACGAAACCCAAAAAACCAGTACAATTCTTTATCATCACCTCAATTCATAAATGTGAATAATCATAAGCATTCAAATTATCATTACAATTGGTCCAAAAAAACATCATGCAAAAGCAATCAAGGCCAGTAGTTTCTTGTGAATGTGGTAAAAGTTTCAAATGGGAATGATGAAGATGATACATAAATGTATTAGCGGCCTAAGCCATTTTTCCTTCACACACAGAATGTTTCCTTTGGCAAAGCTGAAATGTACTGTTCCTTTCACTGTAATTACATTTCCAAATGTTTCATAATGCTACCACAAATTCAGTAGTGACATATTTTGACCTAATGCAATGAGGAGTGAAAAAAAGAACAACATTCCTTGCATGAACTTGAGTTTGGGCACTATTTTTCCCTCCACTGCAAGCGTTTCAACAAAAGCCAAGTTGTTCACAGAATGGCATGTACAGGACTCAAAGCAGAGCTAGAGCAAATTCAAGTTGCCAAAAGAACTATGACAGCCAGTTGCATGGTAACAGATAACTAAGAAGACTCCATGTTTCTCAGTGAGTTGTGCTTTTTGAAAAGTTAGAGCCTCTGTCTGGTCAGTCACTGAGCATCTGGACAACACCCAACACCTTTTGGAATTGGTGGAATGTTTGGTGGAGTTGAATCATGAGTGAAGACTGCTGAAGGAAAATGATTTACGTGTTTGGGTAGAGAAGATCATGGAGCTCGGACAACTTCTCACAAGTCTTGCCCACTTCCTTTGATAGGAGATAAAACAGGGACTTCTCTTCACTGAATTTGTAGGCTGTTCCATCCACATTAACCTTGACCTTCAACTGGGAGAGGTGGGGGAGGTCAATAGGCCATGGCAAGCCAAGATGATGGCGATGAAGCTAAAATATGATACATAACAATCAAAAGACAAAGCACACTTAGGCCAGACCAATATTATTTCTTGTTTTACGGATTTTTGTCCTCAGAAAACCTAAAGGCAGGAGGGAAAAAAATAAAAATAAAAATCACTAGTCAAAATAATTTTCCTTTGAAATACTAAAAGTATTTTATTTTTGGCAATTTATGAAGTTTATATGGGGCAAAAAACAATCAAAAAAAGATTATTACTGTAAGTTTACAATTTTGGCCAATAAAAACATGAGGATTTTATTTTTTGAGTGGGGAAAATCATTTTTGTTTTTCTTAGCCTTGAAAAAATACAACGGCGGATCCATTAAACATGAAATAAAATTGGTCTGGCCTTAAACTGCAACAGGGTCGAACAGATCAAGTTAAGCATGCCTTCCAAATATAATCTCATGATAATCAGATCTTAGTGCTCGTTACCGCTAAACAAAGACCTCAGGACAACCCAGTACATGTCATACCAAAACAGCCTTTCTTGAATTTTGACCAATCATTAAAATGACTCAAAAGAAGTCAAAATTAGTCAATGAGAAAGATGCTTGCACAGCCCAAATTTCAAGCTGACAATTTTCTTTTCTTTTTTTTTTTTTGTAATATAAATTTTATTTCTGTATCCCTGTTACAGTCAAGACTAAGCAGCCAGGGAACCGCTCAGTCAGAAGATATGCAGCGATCTTATGGGATACAGGTGTGAATTTTAACGAAACAAGACAAACCATTCACTCACCATTCACACAAACACAAAGTTGTTTTAATTATCAAACAAATTAATTAAGAATATAATTAATTCAGTCGTCTTTGAATAAGCCATGATGATTTAAACGATTTTAGGAAAATACAGTTCCAGTCAAGACCACTCTGAAAATCCTCTTGCCACAGGATATAGTGATAGGCCTTTGAGCCTTTATTAATTGGAAGTAACAATCGAGTAATTGATGTATTTCCTGCACATTTTCCAGTGTTTTCTTTTACTAGTGACAAGCCAGCAAAATATTTTCTTATAGAGCTAATGACACCATAGTATTCTAAAAGAGATACATCCAATTGATACATTTCATTAAAATCAACCAAAGACAGATAACTGCCATGTTCATCAACAGATCACAAATTTGAGAGATACCCCTTTGAAACCACCCTTCATAAAAAATTATTTTCTTATCAATCACAACATTGCTATTATAAAATATATGATCAGACAAGAAATCTTCAAAATTATCAGGTTTAATTTTACTTGAAAAATCATAAAAATCATTGAAACAATCAATCCAGAAGGGATTTTTGAGATTTCAGACCAAACTGGCGATTTTCACTGCAGGCTATGCAGAAAAAATATTTTCCTTTTTTAACATAAATCATAAAGTTCTAAAGTCTCAATTCAAAATTTCAAAACTGGACAAAAATGTAATTTTCTGAATAAAATTGATATTTTATACTTATCCTGATTCATGCTCTTTTTGCTTGTCTTCTTCTTCTTGCGAACATAGTGGAACACTTGTATCTCCCTAATTGAAGCTCCCTTCAATTTAAAATCACTAATTAGTACTCACCAAGAGTTGCCCCTCTTTGCCTTTTGGCGGGAAAGACGGCGCCACCGTTCCCCACATGTCTTCACTTTCTCCTGTTTAACGAGCCCGACACTTGAACTTTCAGGGAAATCCAAAAGTGTCATGTGGGGAGGATGGGAGGGCTTACCTCATGAGTCAGGATAAGTATAAAATATCAATTTTATTCAGAAATTTACATATTTCTCCTTATCCTGACTCATGCTCTTTTTGCTTGTAGAATCCGACGGAATCGGAGGTGGGAACAGATACTTTGGATTTTAATTAGTGATTTAAGATGTAATAACCCCCTACGGGAACTTCATAATGGCACTGTAATTAAATTAATTTCTGCTGCTATCATACATAAGTTCTACCAGCTGCCATAGATGGGGGTACTACAATATTAAAATAAAAGTGGAGAAGCAACCCAATTGTACAGGTAACACAGGTACTGGGTTTAAGACTAAGGTAGGCTTAAGATATACATAACAAGCAAAAACTCCGTAGAGTTGTAAGCTTGATAAATACTGATATAGTATATACGGATATAATCTCGTGAGACTATGTCTCATCGTCTACAAGGAACTGTCAACTGCTGTGCGAGGACCAGAGGACCGAAATGGTGAATGCCTGAGACGTCCTCGGTGGCGATATCTCTCAGGTAGTGGATAGCAAACACCATGTCCGATCTCCAGAAACAGCCCTCCATGATGGTATTCAGCGAGCAATTTCCATGTAGAGCGAGTGTAGAAGCCAGTGCTCTAATTTCGTGAGGATTAGATGCTCTTGGAGGGTCGAGTCCAGCAGTCTTGTAGGCTCGTAGTATGACAGTTCTGATCCATATAGAAATCGTAGTGCGAGAGACTTCCGTCTGTGTCGCCATAGAGATAGGGACGAATAGTCGCTTGACTTTTCGTCGCCTCGTTTTGGATCGTTGTAAATAAACTTTGAGTGCTCTAATTGGGCATAATGATAAGTCAAGCGTATCATGAGGTCCGAGTATGGAGGAAAGTGCTGGGACGTGGAATTGTCTGTCTGGTTGACCTGGCTGTTGATTCTTGGCGATAAAGTCCGTTCGCAGTCCCATATGCACGATATTTTGATTTGCATCAAAACGTGTTCTCTGAAATCCAGAGCATGTATTTCCGACATTCTTGCTGCTGTTACTAAGGTTATCAGGAACAGCGCCTTCTGCATCAAGAACTCGAATGATGTTCTCTGTAATGGTTCGTAGATCTCACTAGTGAGATGTCGTAGAACTACGTTGAGGTCCCACATCGGAGTTTTAAATCTATGATGTTGGTCCTCCAATTAAAAGGGCGTAGTAAGGCCAGTAACTCTGGTACTTTTGTCAGTTGCACTCGTCCTCATGACGATAACTGATTTCAATGCCGCTAGGTATGTTGAGAGTGTTGACCCTTTTAATCGCTTCCTTTGTCTAGGTGACAGAGGTAGTCCGCCACTTGAGGATGTGTCACTTTCATGGCTGTGAAACCGATCCTCGAAACGTATCTTTTTTGTCACGAAGCATCACTACTTGTCGTCAGACAAGTTGTGTGAAGACTTGCGTAAAGCTAGTGTGACTGCTTTCGCTGCTCTGGCGAAATATCCTCTCTTGTTCAAGCATGCTTGATACAGTCCACACGTGTAGCCGGAACACCTCTGGGTTGCCGTGCGCCTGCTTTGTGTGAGGATGTACTAGTAGATTCGTACACTCTGGTAGTTGCAGTAGAAGCAGTCCTAGGTCTTGTATGAGAATAGGAATTCATATTCTCGCTGGTCAAAAGGCGTGCCCCAAATAGTTGTGGGTCTCTCGCCTGACTGATTTCTGCAACACCCTAGGTATCAGAGCTGGTGGAGAAACACGTAAGTGTTTTAGACCTAGGCAGGAGATGCTTCGCATGTCCGTTGCCCCTGTGTTATCAGTTGACCCTTGTGGGGAAGATATCTCTTCAAGGTTCAACCATCTCTTATATGATCTGTTTGAAGATCTCTGAATGTAGCATCCAGTTTGTTGAGAATGGCTGCGTTGGACACGATAGTGTATTGCTAACACATTCTTGGTTCTTGGAATGTGGCATATTCTGCTGTGGACAGTCAGGTTGACTGTTATACTGATCAACTGAAAGCAGAGGTCCAGAAGGTTGATCCTTCTGTAAATGTAGACCGTCACTGTGGAGGTGACTGTGTGTACCGTTAGATGAGCATTTTATAAAAAAGCTGATCCGGTGGAGTATGGCGTTTATTGCTGCTTTCATTTCCAACCTGTGGAAGTGCAGATCGTCTCTGCTATGGTCCATATCACAGCTGACATATTGTTGTCGAGGTGTGCTCCCACTCTAGGAGAGATGCGTCCCCATAGAGATGCGTCTTGTACTGCGACTCCGCTAATTAGGTGCGTCTGCAACCCTCCTCGCACGGAGTTCACCATATATAGATATGGGTTATAATCTGTCCGGATCGTCCGGTTGTACATTCATGAAGACCGGTAGAGGGCGTAGTTACAATTCTCTTTGCATGTCATGTCTTGTGCTGACGTGCGAAAACCCAACAGATTCCGCCACTTCGTAGTAAAAAACGGAGAGAGTAGTGCTTGAGATACAAGAACTTGTATCTATATCCTACGATCTTGACACCCTTACCGTGTCTGTAAGGAAATGAAGCGATGGCCGACTCTGTGACTGCCATCGTTGAAACTTTAGGTAAAAATTGCCTGGCTGCCGTCTTTAATGATGACAGGGGAGGTCTCTAACCCCATGAAGGCAGACAAATCACGAAGGTCCAGTCTAACTGGACTGTAATGGAGGCGTTGCTCGCTCGCTGACATGTTGTCGTCACTTGCAACCCATGTCTTGATCTGTGAACTACGTCCTGCCTCTGCGCAGGGCGTTGTCCCTCGTGGTCCAATCAAAACAAAGCATTTTGATTCTGTAGGCTAGCCACGCTGTGATGTCACCGGTGTAGCAGGAAAAAGATCCATGTAGAATCTAGTGCCGTCGTTGATATCAGATCAATTGTCGGTCTTGTCCGTACTTTTCCGAAGTTACACGAGTGACCACGTGTGTCGAGGGTTAAATGGTAAACGCGCGAATATTTCGGCACGAAATATTTCGCCGCGTAATATCGATGCTGGGTAGGTTGTTTTCCTGGCTGCTCATCGTACAGGCCCTGTTCTGCTCATCATACAGGCCCTGTTCTGCGACGGGAACAATCTCGGCGAGAAAGTTCGTGCGGTCTGCGCTGGCTTCCCCTTGGTGGTAGACGCTGCCCTGGGGGTGCGGATTCTGCGCTGAAATGTAGATGCCCTCTTACTCTAGACTGGGACGACGGGATGTCTGGTGAGGCAGGTCGCTTCTTGGAGACGGCGGACTGCATCCCACGCCTCTCCTCCAAGATAACTCCAGCTGAACACCAGACGGGAGGGGATC